ATAATTAAAGGACTAATGGCTTTGACAAGTGTTTGATAGAATATCTTTAATCGTGGATGCAAAGAAACAAAGGAGGAGATTCCCAAACTTGAATCGATGGCTTGCAACAGCTCGAAGAGCTATGTTAATTCATTTTATATTTTGAAATTGAGTCATAGAACAAGCCATACTATCAAGGAGGATACTAATGGTGTGCTGGGTGGAACCAAGTGCTCAAAACTCCATCTTCAACTCAAATAATCCTAGCCACAAAAAGCTAGCTGAGCTGAATTCTTATCTGCTCTGGCCTACGCGGAACCTCCACACTCAGTCGCGGAACCTCTGCGCTCAAACACGAAGGCTCCGAGGTCTGTCTGACCAGACCATTTTGTGGGTGACATGGGTGGTATTTATACCATACCCCTTCGCCCCCAACGGTCACCTTCTTCCTCATTCACTCAGACTCTAACTGAAGCTCTCTCTCTCACCCAAGCTTGGCGCTCCCAACTCCCTTGCTCAAATCTTTGTGATTCCATGAGGGATTTGGCTCTAGAGAGTGTGAGAAAGCTTGAGAAGATCCTTCTCCTCCGTTCTTGTGCACTTGGTGAAGCCCTAACCTCTTGGTGTGTTCGTTACTCTTGGAGCTTGGCTCCTAGACGGCTAGCGGTCACCTGGTAGCTCCCAATCCGCTGTGGTTGAGCACTGGAAAGTTTGTATTACCCTTTGTGACTTAATGAAACCCTCTAACCCATTGCCTTGGTGATAGGTTGGAGAAGAGGAGCGAGTTGAAAGAGACTCCATAGCCTTTGTGGCTAACCTCAACAACGTGGATGTAAACAAGCCTTTGTGGCGAGTTGAACCACGGGATAAATCCTTATGTTCACTGTGATTGCTGTTGTTGTTGCTATTACTTGTGATTTGGATTGATTTTTAGGGTTTGCATCCGATCTACGAATTCCTCATCTTCTAGGTGCAACCAACTGTTTGGATAGGTCAACATACCTCCCAGGAAGGCTGGTATTACATTCGATCTATTTTCATTTGTTAAATTCCATGGTAGATCGATTTCATACTCTGATCCCCGGAGGTTCCACGCTCAAGTCCCAGAACCTCCACGCCCTGGAATCTCCACGCTCAAACCCGTGTGCTTGAATTTTGCTTTAGGTTCTAGCCCATATGCAATGACTCTAGTTTGTTCTTTCTATGGTAGACCATGTGCTTGTTCTTGTGAGGCAAAAGAGAGTGGAATAATTCATATATTGATATACTTAAATGATGTGCTTGGATACGTAATAAGGGATGTTTGCTACATGGCCTACATTATTGCACATAGTGAATACTAGTAGTGGGTGTGCTCCATAGTTGTAGTTTATAATAAGAGTGTAAGAGTAGTGAGACTTTGGTTCGTAATGGCTTCGTCTCAGCAGCGGAACCAGTGATTTTGATTAAGGGGGCTGGACAAAGGCTGGAGATTAAGGATGAATTGGCTAGGAACTAATAAAACGACGTATACATCTGCAAATATAAAAGCTTAGACCGGAAATCATTGCCGGTTCAAACCTTCAAGCTTTCACTTGGCAGCGAAGTCCTTACCATATATATTGGAAATTTATATTTCCTACCCTCATGTTTGTCTCTCTAGCCGAGCAGCCCCAACCGGAAGAGCCCCAAGAGCGTTGACACTGTCCGCCGTCCCCATATATCCACCGGGGACCGTCCCCATCCTCGGCCCCAGCCCCAGTAGCTGTGCACCATCCCAGTCCCCGTCCCCGTCCCCGTCCCCGCCCTTATCCTCGACACCATCAGCCAGCCATCGCACGCCACCCTCATCCCCAACCCCGGCCCTGGCAGCCACGTGTCATCCCCATCACCGGCCTCATTTGAGCGCGTCATCCCCAACTTCCTCCTTAGGCACCTGGATTTCTCCCTGGAGCTATGTCGTTCATGCCAGCTTTATAGATGGTACAATTCCCGTTTTTTACCATAGTAAGTGATCTTATCTTACACTCAATTTAACGTATATTCTATTTCAACCTAACACACTTTTGCAATTATTGTAGTTAGTGAGATGACTGCTAAGGGCAACGACATATATGTGGTATAGTGAAAGTGGTGCTCATATGTATATGTGTATATATAATGTTTTTCCATTCAAATGCTCATACACACACACAGACAGAGACATATATATATATATATATATATATATATATATATATATATATATATATATATATATATATATATATTCTATTTGTTGACATCATTTGCATGTTCTGTTTCATGATTTGACGTACGCTGCGTGTAGCTTCCAAGCCATTCTAACTCAAGTCATGGAGCAACTCGGGTACCGCTGGTACTATGTAGGTTCAAGGCCCATGACACAAGGATTGCAGGGTTACTTGAATTTTGCTTTAGGTTCTAGCCCATTTGCAATGACTCTAGTTTGTTCATTCTATGGTAGACCGTGTGCTTGTTCTTGTGAGGCAAAAGAGAGTGGACTAATTCATATATTGATATACTTAAATGATGTGCTTGGATACGTAATAAGGGATGTTTGCTACATGGCCTACATTATTGCACATAGTGAATACTAGTAGTGGGTGTGCTCCACAGTTGTAGTTTATAATAAGAGTGTAAGAGTAGTGAGACTTTGGTTTGTAATGGCTTCGTCCCAGCGGCGGAACCAGTGATTTTGATTAAGGGGACTGGACAAATATGATCGCATCTTTTAGTGTGATAAAATATACATAATTATATGTTTAAACAACTTTTTAAATATTTTTACACTATTTATAACCAAAATCATAATATTTTAATAAAAATGGGTGAAAATTGATATTTTTGTGCTGTAGATTCAAATATATATATAGGTATTAAACAAAATCTATTGTGCTTAGGGGGGGGCACGGCCTTGCTGGCCCCCTAGTTCCGCCACTGCTTCATCTATATCTATCAAGTTTAAGTTTTCTAGTTATGTATATGATGTATTCATATGTTTTGTGAGAAGTGTGATGGCAATGAGAATTCCCTGGTGTGTTATAATTATAGCTACTAGGTGTGGTATTGGACTGGCAGTGTCACACAATAATTCACTGTCAGGTGTGCACTGATCCGGCAGTGGTGCTATGAATGCCATTGTCGGGTCATGACCTAAATCGACAGTGACACTAACCATGACTGGGTGCTCTGAAACCTCCTTAAAACGAGGGGTTGTGGGGTAAGGTAATTGAAGTAACTATCCAGTATTAAGATTAGGCCAAGAATACATTCCTGCTGGTCAAACAAAGTCTTTCCTCTTTGGATGGTAATAGCCAGGCATGTGAGATGATCGCGCCTAGTAGCCACATATCAGCTGCACTCAATATGCGGGATTTCCGTTGGATCAGATCTTTCGCTGCCGGTTAAAGCGTCAACCCAGCAGTGATATCCATAGATACCACTAGTGGCCGATGCTTTGACCCGACAATGTTGTGTCTATTATCACTGTGGGTCGATGCCGATTATCCTCTGCCGGCTAGAGTTCTGGTAGTGATGGGATTCCAGCCCGACGGTGATTATCAGTTCTGGCGTAGTGATCTAAAATTATACAACTAAATGACAAGCCAAAAGTTTCCGTCATCTTTTGCCGTATAATTCTATTAATTCAATTTCTTATGGATGTGCCTAGTCAGCGGACAAAGTTGGATGGAGTAAACTCTATTTATGATATCTATATGGGGTTGATCTGCTGCTTATATATGCTACACGGTTATTGGGCGGCCCATCCATGCCCAACAATATAATGGCCTTCCCTATTATTAACTGGTCTCAGTGCATGTACGTCAGCACGGCGAGAGCGACGTCGCGGTGCATCACCATAAATAGGTACACACACATGACACAACACAATTCATTCATGCTATATGCTTTTGCTAGCTTTTAGCCGCTATCCGTGCCTTGAAGCTATGCATGTCGATCGTAGTGGTTTTGGCGACGCTGTACGTCTAAACGAACTGCATCATAGTCCATCGTCTCCATCCATGCAGTGCGGGTGGCGGCTGCAACTTGCAACTGGTGCCATGAACTCTATACTTGATCTACACGCTCCATATATACAAGGTATGATATATATAAATTTTCTATCAACTGCCAAAGATTTATATATAGCACTGCTACTTCTTATCTTATTATAGTTCATCATATATAGAATCAGTTTAATTTCCATCACATATATGTTCTTGATAGAATTAAAAGGGTACGTAGATCAATACATCCAGTGATCTACTTTGTCACACATGCATGCAGTGATCGATCGTCAGTAAGAGAGACTAAGTGTACAGCAAGATATAAGAGAGGAATCTAATTAAACACCCACTTCTTTGAATTGGCATGTATGTATCATCCCTACAAATTTAAGTCTGGCCATTGAGAGTGCAGATGCACGGTGGTCTTGCTTCACCTTGACTTCAAAAAAAATCCGGGAAGAGGGAGAGAGAGATCAGAGAGAGAGAGAGAGAGAGAGAGAGAGAGAGAGAGAGAGATCTTTGTCTTGGTAATAACATTCATCACACAGCTGGTTGCTTGCAGTTTGTTCTTTGAATCAACTGGGGTAAGTTGGTCTTTGCTACTACGCATTGCTGCAAGCAACTCTAGAGAAAGGTAGTATATGTTTTTCCTTGCCACGAAAGATAATACATATATGACGGCCGGATGCCTTTAAATACGGCTGCGTCCTCAATCCCGTCTCTCCTCACAACAAGTCACGAGCGAACAAGTTTCCTTTCGTCCCAACACACAAACACACACCAAAAACTTGTCGGCCATGGCCTGCAGTCACCAGGTATGTATATATATGCATGTGTAAAATTTGTGCAAAAGCCTGCTGCTTTTGTCGTACAGTACGAACAGACGATGAAAAATATACATACATACTCCATGCCGGCCCACTGCCACTTGTGTATTGTACAGTACTGTCGGAATGAAGCGCGTGCATATACTGCACGTCGTCTCTCATCACTTCCTTTGTTTTGCATGCATGCATGTCGATCGACCTGCAGGGTGATGTGGTGTTCGAGGTGGACGCCATCGGCTGGGCTCCCTCCGGTGCGCGCACGGCGCTGTCCCTGCACCACGAGCTGGACCCGGCCAGGCTCCCCGCCGCTAATAAAGGGGCGGCCACCGTCGGCGGGCACGAGCGCACGCCCAGCGGGCGGTACGTCCTCGCGACGGGGCTCGCCGACGAGGAGGACGGCCTGTGCCAGGCGATCACGCCGGGCGCGCTCAAGCCCCGGGTCACGTACCGTGTCGCCGGATGGATCAGCGTCAGCGTAGCGGCGGCGCCAGGCGCCGGGGTGGGAGGAACAACGACCTATCATCCCGTGCACGTCAGCATCCGCGTCGACGACGGCCGCTGCGTCATCGACGGCGGCGCTGTCGCCTGCTCCGCCGCCGCCTCCGAGTCGGAGGCAGCAGGCGGCGGCAGCAGGTGGGCGGAGATCAAGGGCGCGTTCCGGCTGAAGGAGAGCCCCCGCAGCGCGGCGGTGCACGTGCATGGGGTGCCTGCCGGCGTGGACGTGAAGGTCATGGACCTTCGGATCATCGCCACCGACCCAAAAGCGCGCTTCAGCTACCTCAAGGACAAGACGGACAAGGTGAGCGACACGCCTCATTTACGTCTTGAAATGACCAACAACCAACTGGTTTAATTTTGACCGCGACCAGGGCTTCATTATTCACAACCCTTCCCTTGTTATTTATTATCTCTCTATATATACCTAGCTAATGTGTTATTTATATTCTTTTCATCAATCATCAACTACACTGTATAATTAAGGTCACTTAATCAGTGCCCATCACTCTCAGCCGCGCCGAATAATGATGCTAGTAAAAATGCTCTCCGGCCGGCCTCCGCCCCTTGTGGTGGTGAAGGCGTCTAGTCTACTCTAGACTCTAGAGTTATACTCCTATATGCTGGTGTGTTAGCATGTAAATACTCCGTACATTATAGGTATCCCTTCTTGTACGTGTCGATGACAAGTGCATGATGCGACAAGTAATAATAAGCTCGCTGGTACGTAGCTGCTGTGTGTGACTTGTGGTGACATGCATGCATGGACCATGGCTGCCAGGTGCGCAAGCGTGACGTGGTTGTGAATGTGGGCGGTGCCCCGGCGGGCGCGTCCGTGCGCGTGGTGCAGCTGGACAGCGCCTTCCCCATTGGCAGCTGCATCAACGGCACGGTGATCCAGGACCCGGCCTTCGTGGACTTCTTCACCAACCACATGGACTGGGCCGTCTTCGAGAACGAGCTCAAGTGGTACTGGACCGAGGCGCAGCGCGGGCAGCTCAACTACGCGGACGCCGACCGCCTGCTCGACTTCTGCGACCGCGCGGGCAAGCCCGTGCGGGGCCACTGCATCTTCTGGGCCGTCGACGGCGACGTGCAGCAGTGGATCAAGGACATCGCCGCCTACGACCGGGACCAGCTCATGGCTGCCGTGCAGGCACGCCTCAACGGCCTCCTCGGCCGCTACGCGGGAGGTTCCCGCACTACGACGTCAACAACGAGATGCTGCACGGGCGCTTCTTCCGCGACCGCCTGGGCGACGACGACGTGGCCGCGCTCATGTTCCGCGAGGCGGCCCGCCTGGACCCGGGCGCCGCGCTCTTCGTCAACGACTACAACGTCGAGTGCGGCAACGACCCCAGCGCCACGCCGGAGCGGTACGTGGAGCTCATCCGTTACCTGCAGTGGCGCGGCGCGCAGGTCGGCGGCGTCGGGCTGCAGGGCCACGTGACCCACCCCGTCGGGGAGATCATCTGCGACGCGCTCGACGCGCTCTCCGCGGCCACCGACCTGCCTATCTGGTTTACGGAGCTCGACGTGGGCGAGCCCGACGACGCCCTGCGGGCCGACGACCTCGAGGCCGTGATGCGCGAGGCGTACGCGCACCCGGCCGTCCAGGGCGTCGTGCTCTGGGGGTTCATGCAGGGATACATGTGGAGGCAGGACGCCGCCCTCGTCAACAGCGACGGCACAGTCAACGACGCCGGCCAGAGGTTCATTGACCTCCGGAGGGAGTGGACCTCCGACGCGCGGGGCCGCCTCGACGCCGATGGACAGTTCAAGTTCAGGGGCTTCCACGGCAACTACGTGGCGCAGGTCACCATGCCCACGGGGACGAAGATGCTCAAGGCGTTCAGCGTCGACAAAGGGGACACGCCTCTCGTCCTGGACATGGATAACTGAACATCGCCGCCTGACAATTACATTACATGCCTCTCGAGTCTCGACAAAGGGGACAAGTATTTGGATAGCAGCCGGCCGGCGGACCCCCTAATATATATTCCATAATAATCGGTACTGTATGTAATAATAATAAATAATATGAGTGATGATGTATTGTACTGGCTGAGCCTAATTAATTGAGGAGATATAGTAATAAATAAAGTAATCGAGTTATTATCAGTCGATTTTAATTCTATATACACGTGGAATATCTTTCGGCCAGTTATATCACTAATAACTTATAAAAAAAGTCTCGCAGCAACACGTGTGATATTCCTCAGTTTTCTATCATCTACAAACCTGTGCAAAATACATCTATCACTTATGTGCTCTAAACAAGTATTTGCTTAAGCTATTACTTCGATCACATCCTCTTCCATAAACTGGTTTTTACTTTAGATATCTATATCAAGATGTATCTACAACTAGGAGAAGCCCATGTTGTCACACGTGTGAATTTTTTTTTTTTAAAAAAGGTCTCATTTACCTCTCTCAACTATCACGTCTGATTTTCTTCCTGATCTACAAAATCAGTTTTTTAATCTCCCTTAACTTTTGAAAACCGTTCACTTTTGCACCCTCAGCGGTATTGGAAATGGTTTTGCTAATGTGACGCCACATCAGGGAAGTAAATTGGACTAAGTTGGAAGTTCAAGGAGGAAAATCGGATTATAGCTTCTTTTTTAAAAAATATCTAAAAATTTAGTAAATATTTTTTAAAATAACAAAATATATTTTTTATATAAAAAATAATACAATTGAAAATCATAAATTGAGTTTAATCTTAGAAAATTCATACAAAATTTGTTTTAGCTCGGAAAATTATGAAACTAGTTCTAGATTTTTTTTTTCCAAAAATCACGCTCTATGTTTTTTCGAGACAAAATCATGCTCTATGCTATATATGTTATAGTGCCTAGCTTGAAATATCTTGTTCGCAACATTTTGATAAAGTTTTATGACCTTTCTAAACAATCACGAAAGTTTGATTTACCTCCTCATGACTGACATGGTGCCACTTAGAATGGCTGACATGGTGCCACATCAAGCTAAAACCGCTCATGAAGGTAATAAATAAGACGATTTAAAAATGAAGGGAGCCTAAAAGTCTGATTTTCCAGTTAAAGGAGGCAAATTGAACTTGAGCAATAATTGGGGGAGGTTAGATAGAATTTTTTCTTCTACTCCCTTCGTCCCAAAATAAGTGCATATCTTGCTTATCGTGAACTCAAACTTCTTTTAACTTTGACTAATGATATATCATTTGTAAAGTCCAGTTTAATAGCGCTCCCTGTAATCGGTGGAGCGGTTCCGAACGGCGGCGGCCGCTCGAAACAATAATCTGCTGAACGGAAGCGATTCAGGTTTTTGGCCTACGCTTCTGCTCCCCACCGATTTGCTCTGGATTCGGCGGTCTCCAGCGACCGTACGCCGCCTGCGGACGATCGGCACGGCCCCGCGCTTCTCCCCGTAGCGGCGAGGCTCGCCCGCGTCGCCTCTCTCCGTCGCGGAGGTTCGCCCGCACCGCCTGGAGCCCTGGAGACGAGCAAGAGCCGGAGCCGAGTGACGTTGGAGCTGAGTGGGGAGGGAGTGGAGCTGGAGCTGGAGCCAGAGCGGCACGAGAGCGCTACCAAACGGGGCCTGCCACGTCACGTGGAATGCGTCATCGGTCCGACACCTGAGACCAGCGCTCCTGCTTGTCTCTGTCATCGGCCACGGACGGCGGCGGAGCATAGGCATAGCAGCAAGCAAGCAGCGGAGACGCCGGAGAGCGGTGAGGATACATGGAGAAGGAGCAGCTCGGCACGCTGCTCCGCGACCTCGACGCGCTCAAGCAGCATCCCGACGACCACGCCTCCACCATCGATCGGGTATCCCTCCCAGTCCCACCCGGCTGCACCATGGATCTCGGCAGTTTCTATAGCCATCTTCCCTTCTCCGGTGCCTTTCCAAATCTTGATCCCGGTTCATCTGATTGCTAGATGCGGGAGCGGTTAGCGGCGATGATGAATCCGGCCGCCGGCGCCGCTTCTCGATCCAAGATCAAGGTACGATCTGAGGGCTGATTTCCGCGTTCAGGCGCTCTGCGCTGTCCAAATTGAGTGCGATAGTTTTGGACAAATTGTGGATTTTACTCTGTTTGCGCGAAATTGGGGATGCAGGACATGAGCGCGGAAGTGGTGGACAACAATCCCTACAGCAGACTTATGGCGTTGCAGCGGATGGGTGTAGTGGAGAATTATGAGCGCATCAGGGACTACTCCGTCGCCATCGTTGTAAGCATCCTTCTCACCTAGTTTAGCATTGCTACTCTTCAAACTTAGTTACATCAGCGCAGAATTTCGAAATTGGCATTTACTTCCATCCTCGAGTAGAGGAAGCCTCTCCATGTACTAGTATTATGCACTGAAAATGTCATCGATCTGGATATCACGAAGCTGAAGGGTCTCTTGGGACCATGCGAACTCGAGTATCTTTATCAGTATTGAGATTAGTCTAGGTATTACCATGTACTATGTGCTTAATATGGAAAATATAGTTATAATACCTGGTTATTTTTTTTTGAAAGGTTTATAATACCTGTTTAGAACAACCAGCTATTGTGCTACTGTTATTTCTGCATGTTGATATATTTAAGACAACAATTCAAAGTTGGAAAACAGAAGAGAATTTGTAGCTTCGTCACATCATACATGAAAAGATAATTTAGCACATATAGATGAGGAAATTCAACTCAGAGCAAACCTTTGATTCATTGTCATTATCTTTACAGGGCATAGGTGGTGTTGGTAGTGTTGCTGCGGAGATGCTCACTAGATGTGGAATTGGACGCCTGTTGTTGTATGACTATGACACAGTCGAGTTGGCTAACATGAATAGGTTGTTCTTTCGTCCAGAACAGGTAAGCTTCCAGGACAGGATGTTATGTGTTTGCCTTACCTCTTGTGGTTGTTTGTTTTACACCAAGACATTTTTCATGTTGAAGTGCTTATGTTCACTGCTCTGCAAGACTGCAAGAACATAATTCAAATCAGACCGTGACGATATTCAGTCCATATACTTTGTTAGGTTGGAATGACCAAAACAGATGCTGCTGTACAGACACTTTCTGGAATAAATCCTGATGTTGTGTTGGAGGTCAGCAACTATGCCCAGTATCAATATTATTTGTTAGCCTTTTTTCCTACATCAGTAAACCAAATCATTTCATTAGATTCTGAGCATCATTAGTTTTTGGTAGAAGTGACAAATATAGGGCATGCGGTTTTTGTTGAACTAACCATTCTTAATGTTTTCTACTTTCCATTACTTATTCATCTTCCATTGTATTTGTATAAAACTAGAAGTTTTTGTTGTACTGTTTCCTCTTTACTAGCTTTATTACATGCTCCAACTTGGTACATTGCCTTATGACATGCAAAATAGCAGGCATGATTTCTTTGCTTAGGCCGTATTGGATGGAGTAGCAATACCATTGTATTCCTTATCTTATAAGAGATTCTAACATCTCTTCTCTACTGTAGAGCTACTCATTGAATATTACTACAGTCAAAGGTTTCAAAACATTTTTGGCAAGTTTAAAAGCACGGAGCTCTGATGAACGTAGCACTGGAGTTGATCTTGTCTTGAGTTGTGTCGATAACTATGAAGCTCGTATGGTTGTAAACCAGGTGATTTGTCCACGCACAACTAAATTATTTTGTCCCTCCGTCACGTGCCTTATAATAACATTATGTGCATAGTTATGTATTGTGGTGCAGTTCATTGGTGGGAATTTGCTTATTTGTTCTTTGTACCTGCTTTTCAGGCATGCAATGAGCTCGGTCAGACGTGGATGGAGTCTGGTAAGTTGGAAATCACATTTATTGACAGCAAAACTTTTCAGAAACTGCATTCCTTAACAATATGCTTATTGCCTACTATTCTTGTGTAATGCTGCCATTGTATCTCGTTGTATACCCTAATCACACCTCAAATGTGTCAAGCCAGCTTCACTTGTATAATGTTTTCTCCTTGTTTTATATCACTAGTCAGTATCCTTCAGCCATGATACTTGGTAATCAGTTGAACCTTGTGCATTGCTAATTTTTCAAGGCACACAAGGGAAACTGATTTTGTCAGGATTCTATTTTACTGTGTTATGCTTATTTTTTTTATAAGGATGTTCAATATAGTTATACAGGATTATGGATTCAAAGCAGAGCTTTTCTTCACATAATTCGTTTGGAAAACAGTATGTAATTGCAATCCACAGAAATATACACACAAGTTTAAGTTTTGAAGCTTACTGGATTACAGCCCATTCTTTATTGAACTCAGTGCGATGGTCTCAGAAGACGCTGTTTCTGGTCATATACAACTGCTGGTTCCTGGTGAAACTGCATGTTTTGCATGTGCTCCTCCATTGGTATATTCTTTTGATCTTATATTTACTATTGTTTAATGGTGTGCAGTGTGCTCTTGTGAATTTGATACTTTTAGATTTTGAATGTGTGTTTTATACTGTGATCTCTAACATTTTCAGTGCTGAAATTTCAATGGTTATTCTGGCTTGACAGAGATGTCCCCTATGAACTTCCATAACATATAATTTTCATTTATGTATCACTTCTTGCTTACTTGTCTTTAATGCCTTTAATTATAGGTTGTAGCATCTGGAGTGGATGAGCGTACACTTAAGAGAGAAGGTGTTTGTGCTGCTTCTTTGCCAACTACAATGGTGAGGCGTTGTTTTATCCTTTTACCATTTCTTTTGTATTATTGTTTGCCATTGTCTCGGTGCTTGAATCAGTGATGTTTCAATTATTTGTGTTGTGTAGTGCCAGGTAGCCTTATATGGACCAGTGCATCTTTTCATTAGTTTTGAGACATGATTTTTCCGCGTGCTTTGTTTTTCCCATTATATTAAGAAGAACAATTGGCAGGGTAGATGCTGACATCCTGAGACCCAAACTGAAGAA